CTGGCCGTCTGCCTCAGACTCGGCAGCACCAGCAGCGTCAGCAGCAGCGTCGTCCAGCAGCCTTGCCTGAAGACCTTGGTGGGCCCTTAAGTTTCAGAAGCAGCCTTCACCAGGTCAGCAAAGTCAACCGAGTAGGCAGACGGAATGGCAGTTGCAGCAACTTTGCGCGCCCGTCGGGCGCCCTCCTTGATGACGATGAGTTCGGAGACGTCGTCGTCGTCCGTGTCCCAGTACAGGTCGCGCTGGACCACCGAGGATCCATCACGACGCACGGCCTTGAAGAGCCAGTCAGCTCCACGTTTGGAGCGGTATTTGGCTTGCACTTGCACATCCCGAAAACCGATCTCATGCATCAAAGCCGAAACATGTTCCAATTGCCAGTGAGCTGGAACAGCTTTGGCTCTCCAGAGGCACGGCGTCTCCTTCAAGGAGGGGTCATCCGCTGCGAGTCGAATGCCAAGGGAGCGACCGGAGACGATGCCATGCTTGGCAAGGCCTTGCACACGGCGGAGATAGTCGGAGTATCGCTCCTGCTGCTGCCAAGGAATCCACTGGACCCTGAACTCCTGCCGTTCCCTTTCTTGAAACTCTCCGAGGATGTTGGTGAAGGCACAGCAACCGCCAGCAACAAACCCCGAGTTGGCCCACAAAGAACGGGCAGCATTCGAAGTGTCAACTCGAAGGAGGCCTCGGACCCGAGAGTCGCCCTCCAGCTGCCAGCCCCAGGAATCAAGAATGGAGCCCTGAGTAAGCCCGAATCCCGAAGCCCAGAGCCTAGCAAAGTGACTCGGCTTTTTTGCAATCTTGTCCCAGTTCTGGTTGTAATGCTGATCAAACACGAATCTCACGACAGCACTGGAGGCCCGCTGAACCTCCGGTTTGGGCGGCCGAGTCGTGATCTGCAAAGGTTTGCTTTCTCTCGTGCTAAGCGAAGCAGCGGACGCACCTAAGGAGAGAATCCAAAGCTTGCGCATAACAAGCCGGGTGCCAATCCGACCTGGTACAGCAGTAAGGCGAGCCTTGGAGGCCCAATCACCCAAAGCATCGGCATGCCCATCAAACATGATGGTGAGCGAGTGTGACGTGTCATCACCCTCCGCGGCAGCAATCAGATCAGCGGCCTCCTCAGCCTCCTCTGGGCACTGAGTGAGGAAGCACCATGCAACACCATCTGAAACGTCAAGTTCCTCAGCAAGCGCTGCCGGATTATCAGTCCAACCAACCGCCTGCGGAGGCGTAGCAACCCAGAGCTCCTTAGCGATTTGCCACTCATCCTGAGGATTGGCAGCTTTGCCCTCACCACGTGCAGGATCCTCAATGGACGTCTGTGCAGCCCGAGTTTTGCGAGCAACCTTGCGATTTTTCCATTTACCTGCAGTGGTGGATTGGGGAAGCTGAGCGCCATTACGCCTAGTATCAGCAGAGACCGAAGGCTCCGGCCAATCATCAGAGTACATAACACGGCGGTGTGCACCACCCTGTTTCCAAGGTGAATGCCATGGCACAACATCCTTGGCATCAGCATGACCGCGCGAAGACCAACCTTGATGCCATGTAGTAGGCTCCCACCATCCAGAGTCCGAAGGCTCTTCGGCTTGAGAGTGCAGTGAGGAATTCGCCCGAGCAGCAGAGCTGCCATCCTCAGCATCCCATTCCTTGCTCCACGTGGCAGGCTCCCACCAAGCATTATCGCAATCATCGTAATCACACCAAGCCCTAGAGCCCCAAGAAACCACAGGGTTGACTCCAAGGTTTCCACCTAACTCCTGCAGCAAACCCTTGAGCACGTCTTTGCAGAGTTTGCGCACATCACCTTTGGTAATCGGCTTTTGGAGGCCTTTGTGTGCCCTAAGCTTGGCAGCTTTTGCCCCTGGCCCAGGATGGGCTGCTTCGCCAAAGCGCACACCTGCAGCCGGACTTCTCCGAAAGCGATCATACAGAAGAGCGGGTCCCTCAGCAGCAGAAGTACACCAAGTCGTAGGCTTCCTCGCATTGGCACGAAAAGTGCCACCGAACTCCTGCAACAAGCCCTGCAGAACTGGTTTGCAACTCTCACCCATCATCGCGAAGAGGCGCGCTGCCTCCTCATCCTCACCAAAACCAAAAATGTCCACGATGGCGTTGGCATCGCTCGCATAAGGTAGGGCTAGAGCCGTGCCCATGCCCAAAGTGCGTTCGCTATGAACCCACTTACACGAAAAACTCTCACCAGCAAAAGCGTCACCAGGAGCACCGGCAGAGAGGTCAAAATTGAAATCGAAACCCATAGTCCAGCAGCCCAAGGTGAAGGCATAAAGCAGCCACCCACCTGGCCGAAGTAGTCGTCGCTGCGGTCGGTTTGGAAACTGCCTCCTGGGAACCATTCCATGGCTGGCACACAGAGAGGCGACAGGACTGGGGAGCCCTGAAGGGCTAGGTTCGCTAGGCGGGCAAAATGCCCCAGTGGCCCTCAGGCTCATCTCAGCTTTTTTAATGGTCCCATGCTGGATCTTGTGATGTTTCTTGATGGTCCATTCATGGATCTTCTTGTGTTTTCTCGGCTTCCGGGTCCGGCTCCCAAACCCTACCCTAGAACCCAAGAAACTCCTAAGAGCATTCAGGTCACGACCTCGATCAGGAGCATCCTGCAAGCAGACAGGGCGCCATGACGGTAGTCGCAAAGCTCGGTGTCGGCAAAGCCAAAGGAGCCGGTGACTCCCCTTCAGACGTCGCATAGACCGTGTCCAGCGGATGCAGCCCACAGCGTCGCGCCTCAAAAGCGCACAGCGCGCCCACGTGTTGTCGAAGCAACTGAGCCAAAGAAGGTCGGAGGCACCGCGTAGAAGCAACACCTCTTGGCAACTTAAGCAGACCATGTCGTGCAAGACGAGGAAGACCACCGCCCCGGGAGCCCACGTGGGAACGGCGGCCTAGTCGAAGTAGAGGCCTGAAAGTCCTCCGGTAGTTCTGCGTGAGAGCTGGCGCAACAGCGCGCTCCCAGCGGAAGAACGGCCACAGAAGTAGCCCTGGATTGTCCACGAAGATGTTGTAGATCTCGCCGAAAAGAGCAAGCATGAAGCAGAACCAAAAGAGCGGTCCCTGGAAAGCCGGGCACCCAAAGCCCAAAGCACCAAGACCGCTGCCTAAGATCGTACGCCACGAGGTATAGACAAGTAGCCTCCAAGGAGGCCAACCTCTGGCCCTTCTAACATGCTCGAAGAGGCAATGGACGGCATATGCGAAACCCAAGCACATGCCGAACATTTCCACCATGGACATCTTCGCACTCCAGTTCTTGCCGGAGCCCGCTACCACCTTGCCCGTCGTGAGGCTGGAGGCGATGTCATAGTAGCTGTCGTCCTGGCATTTTTTTGCGTTTTTGCGACAGGTGCGACCACAGGATGCTAAATCCTCGAGGCTATGGTTGGGTCCAGAGCGGGCTGAGTGCTCCAGAGCAGCAGCGCCCTACAGAAGGAGAAACCAAAAGAGGGCCGGGGCCTAACCTAAGGGCCGGGGGTGTCGCAGTCAACCGCTCAGCTCCAACTGCCCAGGCTCGGATGACGGCCCACTATGCAAACCAGGCAGTCTGTACTTACAAGCAGCACTGGCGAGACCATCAACCCGATCGTTCCAAGGACGACGAAAAACACTGAACACTGAAAAAGAACTGAAAGGGTTGACAAAAACTTTCTCTTTGGTCGCTGTCGTCCTCTGGAGTTGGCGCGCCGCTCACCAGGCACTCGTTGAAGCGCTGCACGACGGCTGCTGGGAGCTTGGCCGCCATGACGGCGTCGTCGAACATGCAGGTGCCCATCGTAGTGAGCGCATCGGAGGCCATGGTTCAACAAAACGCGGGCGTGCCGCCGGAGATCAGCCTGTGGAGCTCGAGCCGAGACTACTTCTGCCAGAACACCTCCCCTGCAGGCCACCGCCTCAAGCTGCCCAGTGCCGGTGCTTGACCCTACGCCGCTCTTGACAGCTGGAGAAAGAAACCGTCACAACAACTATATTGCCGTGCTCCCAAGTAGATGCCAAGATGTGCGAGCTTGGGCCGGCCTGCAGGATTCAAATCTCGGTGGCGGCAATGCTCGTGCCTGGCGTGCGAGGCTGACCAACAGCTCAGCTGGCAACCAAAGACTTCATGAAACCCTTGCCTCAACCTGGCATGGCTGCACTTGTCCAGAAGATCCTCTGCAGCAGAGATTGCCAAGACTCAGCTCTTCAGGATCCGACACGACCTGCAAAGGCTTCGGAAACAAGTTGCCCCGAGGGCGCGGCCCAGGTCTGCGCCTCTTCCAGCGCCCCTCTTTTAGGCGGCCTGACATCTGCGATGCTCAAACGCTCAGGGGTTACACAAGCTCTTTCACATTAGATCCGCAATGTCGACAGCCAGCAGAGAGCCCAAGACGGCTTGATGAGCGTGCTGGTGTGGAAGATAGTACTGACAGTATTTGTGGCCACGTGATGACGAACATGATGACTGACGACAACGACCACCACCACCACCACCACCACTACCACCACCACCAGGACCACCACAAATACCACCACTTACTGCAACAACTGCAACAACAGCAGCAGCAACGACCAAAACAGCAGCACCGGCACCAGCAGGGCCAGCAGCAGCGCGCCAGCACCAGCCACCAGCACCAGCACCAGCAGCTGCAACAACAGCAACAACAGCAACAACACCAGCAGCAGCAGCAACAGCAGTAGCGGTACGACGAGCACCACAACCCCAACACAGACGCAATGCCAAGATGTCCGCGGCCTCAGCTAGCCTGGCTGCAGCTGCCAGATCGCCTTAACGCCTTGGTAGAGTGGTTGCAAACACAGTGCTGAGAAGAGCACAAGTCTCAAAGAAGTGCACACCTCTGTGCTTGTTTTCAGCTGCCTGTCTGCTGGGCGGTTCCTTGGCGCTTCGAGCAGTACATTGTGACTCTTCAAGTCAACAAAATTCCATCGAGTGCTGCACTGTAAAATCAATTGGAAAAGAAGCTTCCGCTCCACATTCCTCCACCTCAGAAGTGGTGAGAGTAGATCATGGCCTCGTAGGTGGGGTAAGGGTAGAGAGACGACTCCATCATACTCTCCGCCTTGTCCACCTTGGCACGGAGCGCCACCATCTGCGGCTTCACGGTGTCGCACAGGTACGTGGCCTCCTCTGCCAGAGAGCTGTGGGGCTTGGCTGCGATCAGAGATTTCAACTTCTCCGATTCGTCGACGATGCTGTCGTACACGGCTTTTCGGCTGCCGGCGAGCTTGTCGAAGCCCTTGAACTTCTCCAGATCCTTGGCGCAGGCTGGCAGGAAGCCCGTCTCCACCATCTGGATCATCGTCTCAACCTCACAGCACATGCAGGAGATGTAGTTCTCGTACATCACTTCCTGCCGTGCCTCTGTCTCCTCCTTGGTGTAGATCTTCAGGGTCTCGAGCAGCTTGGTGTTCTTCTCAGAGCTCCAGGTGGCAATGGCCTTGGGCGTGGTGTTCAAGTTCGGCAGGCCTCGCTTGCTTGCCTCGACGGGCCATTCCGCAGAGTAGCCGTTGCCGGTGAAGATCACGTGCTTGTTCTCGGTGTAGATCTTTGCGACGGCATCACGATGGCTCATGCCACCCTCGATCAAGCTAGAGAGGTGCGCCATGCCCGCAGACATGATCGCGTTGCACACCATGATCGGGAGGCAGCAGTTCTGGGAGGAGCCCACGGCACGGAACTCGAAGCGATTGCCACAGAAGGGGAACGGGGCTGTGCGGTTGCGGTCCTCGACGTTAGCCTCAATGTGCATGGCAGCGCTGCATCCCGTCTCCTGCTTCTTCTTCTCAGCCTTGTATCCGAGCAGGTCACCGCCGGAGCAGATGCTCTCCACGAAAGCCTCGAAGCCCTGACCTGGGTACAGAGAAATGATGGCCGGAGGGGCCTCCTGCGCACCAAGGCGGTGGTCGTTGCCGGCACTTGCCACGGTGCAACGCACCATCTCGTTGTACCTTGGCCGACAGGGATGACGAGCCTAAACATGCCTAAGCCACGGGCCCCACTACGCGACGAGAAAGCTGTCGCAGTATCAGACTGTGACTAGGCGGAAGTCGCATAGCATGACTTTCTTCAGAGTTCAACAGATGGGACATCCAAGATACTGCGCAAGGCCGTAGGACAGGCAGGCAATGGCGGTGACGTAGAGCTTCGCACCGGCCTCGTTCTTGCCTGGGTAGAAGAAGTTCAAGCCCGTGTCAGTGCCGACGGACCAGTTGGCGTGCTTGCCGCTGCCGTTGATGCCGGCGAAGGGCTTCTCGTGGAAGAGCACCTGCAGACCCAACTTCGCGGCTTCCCTGTTCATGACCTCCATGAAGCAAACGTTGCTGTCGCAGGACACGTTGGCAGCACGGAAGACGGGGGACATCTCGTGCTGGCCAGGCGCCACCTCGTTGTGCTTCACAGCCATGGGGCAGCCGATTTTCAGCATTTCCGCCTGAACGACATCCAAAAGCTCCTGCACCTTGCCGGGGATCGCCTGGAAGTAGTTCAAGTCTCCCTGCTGGTGTCGGGTGGGCAGCTTGCCGAAGAGCGTGCGGCCGGTGTTCACCAAGTCAGGGCGTGCCTTGTAGTGGGCGGCGCTCAGCACGAAGAACTCCTGCTCCCATCCCAAGTAGCTGAACATGCACTTGGCATCGGTGCCGATTCCAATGTTCTTCAGGAGGCGCAAGCCGTGGAGGGTCACTGCATCCATGGATCGCAGCAGGGGCGTCTTCTCATCGATGCACTTTCCAAAATGCGTCACGAAGGCGCACGGGATGTACAGGCACTTGTCCATCACGAATGGAGGCGAGGACCGGTCCCAGGTGGTGAAAGCCGCTGCGGAGTGGGTCACTCGCAGGCCTCCATTTGGAAAAGACGAACCGTCCGTCTCGCCCTGGAACAGGCGCTCCGCTGGCAGGCAAGCCTTCATGGGCTTTGTCGTGAATTTGGAGCCGAACTCCAGGTCCATCAAAGTGTCCTTCTTGAAGGCCCCGAGCATGCCGCCCACGGCGCCGCCTCCACCACGCAGGGGGAAGAACCAGTGTGCGAAATCGATCGCACCGCGCTCTCGAGCCCAACCGTACATTGTGTCCGCGATGATCTTCATGTCGTCCTGGCATTTTTTTGCGTTTTTGCGGTGGCGACCTCAGGATGCTAAATCCTCGAAGCCTTGGTGTCGGAGAAAGGCTGAGTCCCGAAAGCCTCCAGACGCCCTACAGGAACGAGCCTAAACCGAAGAGGAAGGGACTAAACCCCTAAACCACAGAAGGCAGCCGAAGGTAATTGCGGATACTACAGGCAAAAGTGCAAGAGCATCAACAAGAGCACATCACCACGCAGCCTGAGCCGAAGGTGTTTGTGGACACATGGAAGCGAAACCGATCCCGAAGGTGTTTGCGGACACTTCTAACCGATCCCCTGAAGGGCCGCTGATAAGCGGCGAGAGGCCTCAGCAGACGCCTTCAGGGCCCTCTCTTCCCAATCTCGGATGTCCTCCAAGTGTCGCGCGAAGGCTTCGCGAAGCGAGCCATGAACTCTGCGGCGACACTCCGCCGCTGCAAGCGCATCCACATCGGCATTCCAGCGACGCTGGAGATCGGGATGCGCACCTGGCCACGGCTTCCACAACGGAGCAAGCTTCCCATGGGAAGGGACCCAATGGAGCTGCACATCAACACCCATGCGAGAGATACCAGCGCAAAGTATGGTGACATCTTTGACGAGAAGCGGCAGCGCACCAGTGCCCGACCGAACAGCAGTGAGAGCCGACTCGCAGTCGGAGAACACGTGCAGGACCTTCACAGCGGCCCGCTGCCCAGGATGCACAGCACAAAAGATACGAAAAAGGAGGAGCATCGCGTGGAGCTCAGCCTTGTAGGAACTTTGGTCTTCGCCTGGCAGGCCAGCAGCAACCTTGACGTTCCGACCTGGAAGAACAAAAGCAGCCGCACCAACGTTGTGCGTACTACTTCCGTCAGTCGCAGCGAGGAGAACCGGTTCGTTGAAGCACAGATCCTCCGCAACTTCAGACACCAGCTCGTCCGGGGCAACTAATACCGGAGCGGGGGGCTCCTCAACGGACTCACGTGCCATCAAGCGTTCCTGAGCACGGTTGAGAGGCATCGCGATGCCCAGCCTCAAATCAGCAGTATCAGCGCATGCCCAAGACCTGTGAACCCGACTGGGAGCCCTGAGGCCACAAGTGCAAACAGCGTTCTCAGCATCCTCAGCATCCTCCAAAGCGTGCTTAGCCCCGTAGTACCAGATGGAGCCGCCAATGGCCATGGCAGCTCTCCGGTCTTCAAGGTCCTTAGAGGTTCTCCACATAGCCCCGTGGCCAAGAGCCCGGATGAACGCATCTCTATGGGGACCAGGCAGGTCCAAACCCTGAGCCAAGCCAGCCTCCTGCCTGTGAAAGGAAAGGCGAGTGCGGCCACAACGCGACAAGGCCGTGCGTCTGTGGTACAGCAGAAGCCACTCTCGCAGCACGTGCAGGCCGTCGTAACTTAAGTGAAAACTGCGCTGCTGACCAGAAGCATCCACACGGTGGATGGCACTGCCATCCCGCTCCACAGTCCAGCCTAACCTAGAAAGCAGAAGCGCAGCCTGGGGCAGGAGGTACTGCCACAGAGTCACGATCTCGTCCAGCAGCAAGTCGTCATGCCAGAGCTGGCGGGTACAGTATGCAGCAACAGCAGTGCGCAATACAGCCCAGTCAGCACAAAAGTGCGCAGAGGAGTGCCACTCAAAGATCTCGTGAAAGAGGACCGGAGGGGCCTCCCGCGTAAGGGCCATCCTGAGCGCCCACTTCACCGGCTCATTGAGGGCAGACTCTGGAGGTGCAAGAGAGTTTGCCGAGTGCTGTGCGAAACCAGACCAACGTACAGCAACCGAGCGTGGACGCGCTCCCAGTGGAGGCGTAGGCTGGGTGCAGTCGAGAGGGTGAGATACACCCAAAAGGGTCAAGGTCTCCACACGCGCGTACCCCAGTGTGTCAGCGAGGCACTGGGCATCCAGACAGCCCACAACGGAGGACTTTCCAGGGTCGCAAGCCAAGGCAAAAGCAGCGTCAAAGGCTTTGGAGCGGAGATTAGCCTCACGAAGCTCTTCGCACTGGGCCGAAACAGGTCCTCCCAAGGCAAGCATGGTGCGATCGTCTTGGTAAGTCAGGGCAAGAACCGAAGGACTCGCAACCATTGAGGCCCACACCGGCATGACAGCGGCGGCCACCACAGGAGAGAGGGGGCAGCCCTGGATCAAGCCGCATGTGGCATGAAACCAGGTGCCAGCACACTGGCCGCGCACCATGAGCAAGCGTTCCTGTTTGTCGTAAAACGAAGCAAGAACTCGCCGAACCTCAAGAGGCATGCCCCAATGCGCAAGAGCCTGGTCTGCAAGCGAGAAGTGCACGGAATCAAAGAACCGCCGGAGGTCCTCTTGAACACCAACCTTAGTGCCTCGAAGCAGCGCGCAGTGCACCCGTTTGTGCACGTCAGCAGTTCCGCGAGTTGGCAAACCGCCAAAGGAAGAGGCACCAGCCCACCGATTGCACCAGTCACGCAGGCCTGCCATCAAGCAACGGGCGCCGCAGCGCCAAGCAACACAAGCAAGGGCGATGGGCCGGTGTCCGCCCGTCAACTTGGGAAGCAGAGAGACAGTAATGCGCTTCCACACCGAAGGGATGGAGCCACTGCGGAGCACGCTCATCCACAACTGCGAGAATGCAGCCCACCACACGGGTGGGAGCTGAAGCAGCTGAGCAGCTTGAAACCCGTCAGCACCGCCTCGTTTGCCAGTCATCTTACCCATCGAGCGCTGCAGCGCCTCAGGGCTAAGGTCGAAGGCCGTAGTCTCCTCAGACAAAGCCGGCAGAGTAGCCAGAAGAGCCGAAACCTGCTGTGTGTGAACCTGAAGCTGGGGAAAGGCCGTCCAAAGGCGAGTCCACTGCCGCCCTTCTTGCTCAAGAACCGCCTCAGGCAAAAGAGAAACCCTTGCAGCACTCTCAGGAGAAAGACCCTTGGCAGAGCGAGCCAATTTAAGCTCCGCCCGCTCCTTGATCCACCTCCGCTGCTTAGAGGAGTCTTCCTTAGTAGCACTCTTCCAAGCCTTGAGCCGCAGCAGTCGAAGCTCCTCCACACGATCATGCAAGATTTGTGCAACACAGCATCCGGAAAGTCGGTGGAGTTAGCGAGCACCTGAAAGAAAGTAGGAAAATCCTCACTGAGCTGAGCAATGTAGCGCCGCAGTGCAGCCATAAAGGCTCGCATGGCGGAGCTTCCGAAGGAAACGGCGAAGGCGTCGCACATCCAAAGGCTCAGATGCAGTGGCAGCTTTATGTTGATCCCTAATCCTACACTTAGGGTCCCAAGGGAGGTGGCGAACCGAAGATCTAGGATCACGATCAGTCAAGGCATGGTCAGCAAAAGAGGCGAGGACCTCCCACTGCTGATCCACCGTCACAGCCGCAGCCCACTGAGCCTGAAAGGCAGACGTCAGGAAAGCAGCGTGGACCTCCTCACGTGTGTGCCGCACCACGAAGCCGAAGGTGGGTGGAAGCAAGGGAGGCGAGGCTCCCAGACCCTCAAGGTCGTAGTATACCCCACTGTGGTCGGCTATCCCGGTAAAAGTGCAGGCAGACGAGGCAGAGAGCGACGGGCTCGCCAAAGCGTAGTCGATCACCCTAGTGTTGCCTGGGCCCGTGGGCGGGGGAGGCACAGCACGACAGTCATCAAGATCCACCAGATGTCCCTGCGCAAGGGCCGCGGCGATCGGAAACTCCGTCGTTTCGAACTGAAAGTCACCAGCCAAAACGAAAGGAAAACCAAACGGAGCAAGATCTTCCCTGGCTTTGGCCAAAAGCTTACGAGTGACCTCGGCATCACCCGCCTTCCCGTAGAAGGACACAAAGAGAAACTTGAAGAAGGAGCTACCTCTGCGAACCTCAGTGAGCGCAGCAGCCACACGTGAAGAACTGGAGGCAAGCTGCGTGAAGGCCAAAGGAAACCTCGAAACAACAGCAGCCCGAGCCTTGCCATTTTCCAAAGGAGCAATCACAGCATGCCAGCCCTGAGACCGCCAAAAACGGGTGAAGGACAGACAGTTTTCCAAGTTCAAGTCAACCTCTTGCAATGCACACGCATCCAACTTGTGATGGCACACAGTGTCAAAGATGGGCTGACAGAAAGACCCGCCACCTCTGCCTACGTTAAGCGTGACTAGTCGGAGGAAGGCTGCAAGACGGCGTCCAAGAGCTCACCGCGCAACGCACGCTTGCACCGGTTGACAATGATCTGAAAGTCATGCTGCTGCAGCGCCGAGTCATCAGCATACTCGGTAAGAGCATCGAGGGCCTGCAACCGCCGCTTCAGGAAGATGGGATTCCTGCTCTTGTAGGGGGCAGTACCCGTGCATTGGTGTTTCACAGCACCACTCCGATTCAAGAAGCAGAGCATGCACGTGTTGCAACGCCACGCCCGGAGCACACAGATCCTGGCGCGCAGCGTGCTCCACTGAGGCCACAAGAAAGTCGTGCATCCAGTGATGACCGCCCCATCAGCGGCACGGTTGAGGGCCTTGCCGCGCTTAACGGCCCTCCCAGAAGCAAGCCTGCCCGCACGCTGCCGGATCAAAGCGTACCAGTGGCTGAGGGCAACGGTCCGATGCTCCTCTAAGCGGTGTTTGCGGCACGAAGCAGTGCGCAGCTCACCCGTGGCGCGAGCCCACTCTTCCGAAAGGAAACCCTTGGGACAGCAAGGACAAACCCAACCTAAGGTCCTGCCTCCAGTGAGCTCCTCGGGACACCTAGGAGTGAGAATCGTGTCCTCAAAGCGAAGAGCACCAACATGAAAGCAGCCGTTGTGGGCAGCCTCATTGTGGTTCCACCTGGCCTTCGAAATCTTAGACTGCGGTCCTACCACGACAAAGGAGCAGCCCGGGACGGGACACTCCCATCGCTTAGGCTCTGCAAGGATGGCATTCCGTCGCAACTTCTTGCAGGGAGTCTCAGGCTCAACGTCAAACTCAAGAACACCCAGCTCACCAGGCACGGGATCATGCGTGACAGTGCCTACAACCCCTGCAAGACTGATCCAAGGACGAGTCTTGCACCTCAGG